AGAGTGGAAGACATATTACAGAAATTGAGATGATTTTGATTGATTTCACAATGAAAAGTACCTTGAAATTGAGCTCAAAGTAGCAGAAATGTTCGATTTTTACCAAAGTTCAAAAGTAACCAAATCATGCCAAGCGTCCAATACATGTCAACTGGTGAGTCTAATATTCTTTCACAAGTGCACTGATATTATTTATACCATTTCTACACTAATGCAGTAGTCTGCATAACAGTAAATCTTCTATTTTTTGTAAGAATAAAAATTCAAAGTGGAAAGCAAAAGAAATATAAGAGGGGCATGGGGATGTGACTAACAAACAGAGAACTTATTTTAGTGCCAGGAATGTCTTTCTTGTTTATTCTGGACCCTATTTGGAAATTGGCATCTTCTGAAATTTGTGTGAAATTGGCAAAATTGCCAAATTCTAACTACTTTATTGGATAGTTGAAATTGGTAAATGGATGGTTTCTTGTACTCATTCGATAGAAAAAATGGAGTTCTAGCAAAATAAATATGATTTTTGTCAACTAGTACACAGGAATTGGCTGAAAATAGGGCTCAAAGTGGGCGAAATCACCGATGCGTAAACATTGGCGAGACCGCTAACTTCGCGAGAGCATAATTCCGTAAGTTTTCCATCAAATTTCATACTTTTGGTGTCATTATGATCGGGAAAAGATTCTCTATCATTTCATAAGAATTTTTTTTTTCCCCTGAGAACAAGTTTAGGAGAGGGCCTCTCGACCCTGAAAGGGTTAATGTACGTAATTTATTAATAAGAAATATTTACGTTTTAATTTATAAATAAGTTTATCCAGGTATACACAAATAATTACGTACATAGATTATCATACATAGCATATGTGTAAAGTACCTAGGATAACCCAAAAAAGTCAGTGACTTGTGTATTTCCATTCTGGTCCTTTTATATTTACACTTATATTTACTTTTATACATACACTTTTATATTTACACTTACCTTGGAGATGTTAGTTTAATTAGTTTGATGGAGGAGATGCTGCCAGAAGTTTAGAGTGGTGGAAGATAGGAGGCCGACGTATCTTCATTGGCTCAATACACATCCAACAACATTGAGAGTTACTTTAGTGTTGTTTTTCTATAGCTTACTCGCTTAACTTGCTTGCTACACTTTTAATTCTACACTTTATTGCTAGCTGGCACTATAGCCTTTATCGATACCTGCTGCTTTAGTATTGTACATATCGTAGAATCACTGAATAGCTGCAGAAGGCACATTCATGCCTCTGTCTTCCTCCTCCACTTTGGTACTTTGCTACAAGTTTTTTTCTTGAATTCTATTGTGCTTCTTTCCTTCTTTACCACAGGGCTGGCATAGAAGCTTTCTTTGGGCCCATGGTGGCTTATTTAGCAGTTACAAGCACTAAAAACAGTGGAATAATACAAAATATATCGCAGCTACGTGTGGAATCGTCCTCCCTGGCTTGTAAAAAATGGCACACTGGCTTTAAGTGGGCTCAGGTCGCGTGGACACGTTCGGGACGTATGTCCTTAACTGAGTTTTTCATCGTTAGCCGAGCCAATATTTTGACACAGTGCTGCTATCCGATTTTGGCGTTAACCGATCCCGCCGTTACCCCGAGGGTCCACTGTATACTACATTATAATGTTTTAACGAAGTTCATGATATTGAGCAAATGCACTTAGTTTTTTACATATTTATTTATGATGGGTGAGGATAGGTTAAGGAGATAAGGTGTTTTCTAACTGTGGTTTTAAAAATGCTAGCTGACCCAGTGGTTCTAGAGATTTTGGCATAGAGTTCCAGAAAAGATTTAGCCTGACACTGGGAATGTCAGAGATTTTTGTGCCTAGTATTGTGTCCATGGGTCCTAATGTAATTGTCAGGAAAGCACTTCAGGTCAGGATTTACATTAGAATCGATTGTTGTGTAAATGTAGGTGGCACAGTAGTATTAGTAAATGTTTTGTATAGTGAGTAAACATGGAGAGGGTTTCAGGGGTCAATGCCCCCACAGCCTGGTCTAAGGCCAGGCCTTGTGTTGGATCAAGGTCTGATCAACCAGGCTGTTACTGCTGGCCACACACAAACTGACACATGAACCATAGCCTGGCTGGTCAGGTACTGACTTAGGTGCATGTCCAGTGCCTTCTTGAAGACAGCCAGGGGTCTGTTGGTAATCCCCACTATGTATGCCGGGAGGCAGTTGAACAATCTTGGGCCCAAGTAGGTTTAGGTTTTAGAAAAGTGGGGGGGGGGGGGCGGGGCATGTCTAGCTGTGGATTGTGTGATCATTTGCACTGTAGCTTTTTCTTGGGTTGCTTTAGGTGATTTGCCATTATGGAACCCCAGACACAAAATAGCATAGCTGAGGTAGGGGTAGATCAGTGAATGGTATAGTGAAAGTAGTGCTGTTTGTGGTACATAATAACGTATCTTTGAAAGGATGCCAGCTGTTTTAGAATCTTTTTTTGTTGGATATTGGTGTTGAATTTCAGGTTTCTGTCAAGGTGTAGACCCAGGAATTTTCCCTCATGTTTAGCAATAAAAATTTTGTTAAGCATAATGTTTAGCTGGACCTCACTTGCTCTACTCCCAAACATAATGTAAAAGGTTTTGTCTGTGTTCAGTGTAAGTTTATTGACAGTCACCCAGGTTGCAATCTTTGTGAGCTCTTCATTAACAGTAGTGTTCAGTGAGGCTAAGTTAGGGTGCAAGTGGTATAAGAGGTAGTGTGAAGGAAAGAAAAAAAAAAAAAGGCAAGGATGCCATGGGTAGAAATAAAGGTACACCATATCAGCCTCAGTGGGCTTAGATCATTCATCATACTACCAGTAGATACCAGAAATAGCTACTGCTGGAACAAGTGTAGGAGTCTTAAGGAGGAAACGATTGCTTCCTCCACCAAGTTCCAAATCCACCAGGTTGAGATGAGTATGTGGGCCAGTAGGTTGCCAACAGCAGCAGCCCAGTTGACTAGGTAAGCACCAGAAAAAACTTAGCCTTGGGCTAGTGCTTGTCTGGTAAATTAGGCAGTTTCTGCTGGCCCAAATAATCATTCTTTATTATTGCTGTAAGTGTTTATTTTTTAACATTGTGTACACTGTTACTGAGCATATATTTAATATATTTTGCAACAGATGGCCAAAACTTGAAACTAAATTTTTTTTGTAAATTCGAATGTCAAAAAATCTTATTAAACAGGTGCTGAAAGTACACACTGTGAAGAGAGTATGATTGCAATATTTTCTTTAAACGTATCGGCCGTCTCCTGCTTAAGTAGGGTGTTCCTAAGAGGACACTCATTCACTCAGTGGCTGACATCACTGTTTGGATGACCCTCTGAACTGTAACATACCTACCCCCCTCTTTTTTTTTAAGTGCAGGCACATGTGCACACCCACCTCCAGGATTGAAGTCTGGCTAACCAGTTTCCTTGAATCCCTTCATAAATGTTATTTTGCTCAGACTCTTAATGGGTCATAAAAACCATGATTCTCCACTCTGATCTAATGCAGTCATAAATAAGCCTTTTGGATGTTAAATCCCCAGGCACTCAAAACTTTTACCCCCTCCCTCCAACCTTAGCAGGGATGACCCCTTACCCCCTCCTTTCTTCCACCTCAGAATTATATGCAATCTTAGTTACCCTGTTCTGTTCCATCCTCTAAATGCTCGCCTCAAGAACACTCTGCAGCCCTCCCATAAATGTTTCAAGTCCATGCTTTTCATCATTGTGCTGGTACCACTAGGCGCTGTTACATTCCCCTTTTTTTGCCTCCTTGAAGGTGTAAAATGAATGAAGGAATGAAGAAAAAATACCTTTTTTTGTTTTTAAAGTAAAATATGAAAACGTTTCACTTCCCATGCTACAGTACTGCACCAGAAAGGCACATTGGAGGATGCGAGGGGAAGCAAAGTTTGCTCGTCGAGGACATAATCACAGCTTGAACGTAAATCATATTTTCCTTTTGCTGATATTTGTTGATGTTTAAATAAATATGCTCCTCGTTATTTCATAGTATTATAAATCTGATCATTAGTTTGTGCAGAAATAGTTGACATGTAAAATGGTCATGACTAGGGATGGGACAATACTAATACTTACATTTAGTCACATACCATCAAAATGAGCAGATACCCACCAGTACTGTGGAAATTAGCTGTATTAACTGATGTCGATACTCAACTTTAAAGCAGATATTGATACCATCAAAATCATCATATACCTATTGATCTTGATGCTTTGGCATATTAATCACCAAGGTAAATTGTTCCATAAATAGTCATGTTTATGGAACATGTATGGAACTGGTTTTATGAGTTAAATATTTTACCGAAAGTATTGTGGTTTTCAAACTTTCCGGTAGTTTGAGTTTTGGCTCTTGATCCTCCCCCCCCCTCCCCCCCACTTAGAGTTAAATATATACCAAGTAGTGACTACCTATATGAAAATGAACAAAGAGGATGCTAGGTCATCTTGCAGCTGGACTAAGTACAGTAGAACCTCGGTACTCAAACTTAATTTGTTCCAGAAAGCTATTTGAGTGCCAATCTGTTGAGTACTGAAAAAACTTTTCCTAACCAATTTTCTTTTTGATTGGCTGTTATTGTTAATCTTTGTTGGCCCCATGGTGACTAATTTATACAAATGATATAAAAAAAAAGTGAAGAAACATAGTTTACAGCGAAGTTCTGGCAGGTCGTGTTTATTTGGTCAAGTGCCAAGCAAACGGTCGACTACCGAGCGATTTTTAACCAAACAGAGCGTTTGAATACTGAATTGAGTAGGGAGCCATTAAAGTACTGAGGTTCCACTGTACTATGCAGTATTAGTTCTCAGGGGTTAAATGATAATTAACCAACTGGCATTTTTCTATTATTGTAGTTACATTAACCTTGAATATACTGCTTTATTCAGGTCTAAATGTCAGTTTTATCCTGTTGCGCTAAAGAATTTTGTTAGCTTTCTTACTATATTGAAGATTCAATGTCCACAGGAGTTGGTGAAGCATGGTGTACGTGATGTGGTTCGTGTTTGTGAACCAACATACAAAACGGATGAACTGAAGAAGGCGGGAATATCTGTGATGGACCTGGTGTTTGATGATGGAACATTCCCTCCTGCAGAGGTAAGGATTGGAGCTCTTCATTATTTAAAATCTAGGATCTTCCTCTTCATACTCCTTTTTGTACATTAGTGTAGCCTCCTTATCACAAGTTCATGTGTTGAAAAATTGCTGTAGCCAAAATTTCATCATAACTAAGCTTGTGTGGGTGAAGAAGTATAGGGGTACAACAGCTCTTGTGGGTGAAGAAGTAAAGGAGTATAACATTTGTAGAATTACACAATAATGAAAGAACACTGCAGCAGGCCAACTGGCCCATGTTAGGCAGGTCCATCTCAAACCCACTTGTGTATCTGTCCACCCTAGAACACAAGCTTGTATAGATACTGAACATCAGTGAAGAAGGCATGGGAATGTTTGGTTATCGTAGTGCATTATTCTGCTGACTGTTTTGAGACAGGTGTTATAAATAAGCATTACGTATATCGTGTAGAGAACTTGTGGAATTTATGAAATTGTGTAATAATGCTTGGGTGCAGTGAGCTCATATTAATCTAGTCTATGTAGGGATATTTTTTGCAAATGCAGCTGTAAGTGCATCCAGAATTGAAAACATTATAATGGCCTTTCCAGGTGCTATTTCAGTTGTAGATGTGCTCTTTTCAATCACATTTACAAAATTAAAGGAGCTTTATGGGAGAACTTACTGTAATTCTATTTTGAATTTTTATTGAAATGTTAAAGCTTGTCTTTGGTGTCAGCCACCTTACTTTTTCAGTTACTAAACAACTTTATCACAAATATTATTGCTTCTGCAGTGGGGTTTATACAGTAAACCCTCTTGAAATGTTACTTCACCTTATAATTTTATTGCAGTATGTTTTGGGAAAGTGCAGCTAGAAAGTCTGAAAGGGGAGAAGACTTGATTCTTTACGACAGTGGAAAAATAAATTACTGTGCAAAATATTAGTACTGCATGCCGTAACATTTATGCATAAATTTTGATTACTGCTTGCTGTGGTATAAAACTCCTTCCATTCCCTCCCAATGACTGTCTTACTCACCTGCAGCTACAACTGGGAAGCATCTTCTGCTTTCTTCAATGTGTTCATCAACCTATCGGGGATGTTTTCTTCTCTATTGGGTCTGTTATTAACCTTTTTAACAATGTCCAAAATATTAGTACAGTAGGGCCCCACTTATATGGCAGGTTAGGTTCCAGGCTACTGCCGTAAAGTGGAACACCCTTTTTTCCCCCTTATAAATGCATACAAATACTAGATAACAAGTTTACACTAACATATATTAAGTTAGCAATAGAACTAGGCATCAAAAAACAATAAAGTACAATACACACACTGTGCACTCATTACTTACCTTAAAATATTTGTAGTCTTAATCTAGGGTGAGACAAGTAGTATTTATTGTAAGAAATCAAGTGCGGTATGTATGGTAGTCAGCCGGGCTACCATACCAGGCCACCCCACCTACACATATTCTATTATATTTAAGCATCCCAGAGCGATAAAATGCATATACAGTTCACTCATTACTTAAAATATTTGTAGTCTTAATGTAGGGTCAGGGGTGAGTAAACGAGATAAAACAAAAAAATGAGAGAGAATGAGAGAGAGAGAGAATGAGAGAGAGAGAATGAGAGAGAGAGAGAGAGAATGAGAGAGAGAGAGAGAATGAGAGAGAGAGAGAGAATGAGAGAGAGAGAGAGAATGAGAGAGAATGAGAGAGAGAGAGAATGAGAGGAGGAGAGAGAATGAGAGAGAGAGAATGAGAGAGAGAGAAGAGAGAGAATAGAGGAATGAGAGAGAAATGAGAGAGAGAGAGAATGAGAGAGAAATGAGAGAGAGAAATGAGAGAGAGAGAGAATGAGAGAGAAATGAGAGAGAGAGAGAAATGAGAGAGAGAGAGAGAAATGAGAGAGAGAGAGAAATGAGAGAGAGAGAGAGAGAGAGAGAGAAATGAGAGAGAGAGAGAGAGAAATGAGAGAGAGAGAGAGAAATGAGAGAGAGAGAGAGAAATGAGAAGAGAGAGAGAAATGATGAGAGAGAGAGAGAGAAGAAATGAGAGAGAGAGAGAGAAATGAGAGAGAGAGAGAGAGAAATGAGAGAGAGAGAGAGAGAAATGAGAGAGAGAGAGAGAGAAATGAGAGAGAGAGAGAAATGAGAGAGAGAGAGAGAGAAATGAGAGAGAGAATGAGAGAGAGAGAGAGAGAGAAATGAGAGAGAGAAGAGAAATGAGAGAGAGAGAGAGAAATGAGAGAGAGAGAGAGAGAGAAATGAGAGAGAGAGAGAGAGAAATGAGAGAGAGAGAGAGAGAAATGAGAGAGAAAGAGAAAGAGAGAGAGAGAGAGAGTGAGAAATGAGAGAGAGAGAGAGAGAGAGAGAGAGAGAGAGAGAGAGAGAGAGAGAGAGAGAGGAGAGAGAGAGAAGAGAAATGAGAGAGAAATGAGAGAGAGAGAAATGAGAGAGAGAGAAATGAGAGAGAGAAGAATGAGAGAGAGAGAAATGAGAGAGAGAGAGAAATGAGAGAGAGAGAGAGAGAGAAAATGAGAGAGAGAGAGAGAGAGAAATGAGAGAGAAGGCAGACCTCTTTGCTGAACACTTTGCTACCAAAATGCAAGTTCCTGACCCAGCAAGGGACCCTCCTTGGCTAGCTGCAAGAACTGTGTCAAAACTGTCAGTGGTGACAATAAGGCAGGAGGAGGTGCATTTCCTACTTAAATCGCTTGACCAAGAAAAGGCTGTGGGCCCAGACAAGTTGAGCCCAAGATTGTTGAGAAGATGTGCAGACCAGCTAGCAGCACCTCTAACTCGCATCTTTCAGCACTGCCTAGTACAGTGTAAATGGCTCTCTCTATGGAAAGAGGCAAATGTAGTCCCTGTTCACAAAAAGAAGAGCAGAGCAGAAATCAGCAACTACAGACCAGTGTCACTCCTGTCAATCACTGGTAAGATCCTTGAGACAATAATCTCAAGACAAATGACAGAGTTTTTTGACTACCACTCACTACTTTGTGATCGTCAATATGGCTTCAGGAAAGGTTACTCTACTGCTGATCTGTTGTTAAACCTCTCCACTAAGTGGCACGAGTCACTGGATGAATCCAAAGTCAGCTGTGTGGTAGCACTGGACATTGCTGGCGCTTTCGACCGGGTGTGGCACCAGGGCCTCTTAGCAAAACTTCAAGCACTGGGAATTGCAGGCTCTATGCTATGTCTCCTCAGTGATTACCTTCATGGTAGATCTCTAAGTGTAGTTCTCAATGGAACGGAATCAGCAAGACATCCTATTGGGGCAAGTGTTCCACAAGGAAGCGTGCTGGGTCCATTGTTATGGAATGTCTACTTCAACGACCTTCTTCATCTCATCCCAGAATCACATGCATATGCAGATGACTGTACACTGACATTCACTTATCCAAGAGAAGAAATGCCAGCTGCTCTAAGCTACATCAATCACCAGCTGAGAGCTATATCAGCTTGGGGAAATAGATGGCAAGTAACATTTGCACCTGAGAAAACGCAAATGATGATCGTCTCTAGGCACCACGATGGTAATGCTGGTGCAGTAGTAAGGATGAATGGGAGGATGTTGGCACCTGGAGAAGAAGTTGATATCCTTGGGGTGAAATTTGACTCCAAACTAACCATGAAGAACCATGTTGTAAATCTTGCAAACAAGGCAGCCAGGAAGCTTACAGCACTTCGCTGTAATCTCCCATCTGCTTGACAGTAGGGGTTGCAAGATCCTGTACGAGGCACAAGTACGCTCGCACCTTGAGTATGCTCCACTTTCTTGGTTTGCCTGCCCCCCCCCTCTCATCTGCGACTGCTTGACAGAGTAGAGAACAGAGCAAGATGTCTCATCTCTCGCCTGGACCCATCCTGGATAGATCTGTCATTTCAGCAGAGCCTTCAACATAGGAGGGATGTGGGTGGCCTTACTGTTATGTACAAGGCCAATATTGTCAAAATACCACACTTGGATCCACTTCGAGGACAGCATGAAACAAGCTTTTATGCCACAAGACTGGCAGAGAGCAGCAACTTCACTCTGGCTGTACCCTTCTCCAGAACATCACTCCATCTGAGATCATACATACCCAGGATGACTCGAGTATGGAACACATTCGTACAGGATAATGATGTCAACGAGATAGTCAGTTGATCAAATGAAAATGCTGGCCCACAGATGGCTCCAACTTCATCCTGTTTCCTACTTGTATGTCTCATAACAATAAAAATGCTTTCAAATGAGCTGATGTAGGTAACAGCTCTTAGCTTGCCAATGAAGTTAGGAATCCTTAACCTGTAAATAGCTGTCAATAAAGCTAGGGATCCTTAACCTTGTCAAACCCTGTGTAAAAAAAAAAAAGAGAAATGAGAGAGAGAGAAATGAGATAGAGAGAAATGAGAGAGAGAGAAATGAGAGAGAGAGAAATGAGAGAGAGAGAGAGAAATGAAGAGAGAGAGAGAAATGAGAGAGAGAGAGAGAGAAATGAGAGAGAGAGAGAAAATGAAGAGAGAGAGAGAGAAATGAGAGAGAGAGAGAGAAATGAGAGAGAGAGAGAAATGAGAGAGAGAGAGAAATGAGGGGAGAGAGGGGAAAGAGAGAGAGAGAGAAATGAGAGAGTGAGAGTGTGTGAGAGTGTGGGGTGTGTGTGTGTGTTTTGTGTTGTGTGTGTGGTGTGTGTGTGTGTGTGTGTGTGTGGTGTGTGTGTTGTGTGTGAGAGTGTGTGTGAGTGTGTGTGTGTGTGTGTGATTTGTGTGTGTGTGTGAGTGTGTGTGTGTGTTTTGGTGTGTGAGTGTGTGTGTGAGTGTGTGTGTGAGTGTGTGTGTGGGGTGTGTGTGTGTGAGTGTGTGTGTGAGTGTGTGTGTGAGTGTGTGTGTGTGTTGAGTGTGTGTGTGTGTGTGAGTGTGTGTGAGGTGTGTGAGAGTGTGTGTGAGAGTGTGTGTGAGAGTGTGTGTGAGAGTGTGTGTGAGAGTGTGTGTGAGAGTGTGTTGAAGTGTGTGTGAGAGTGTGTGTGAGAGTGTGTGTGAGATGTGTGTGAGAGTGTGTGTGGATGTGTGGGGAGAGTGTGTGTGAGAGTGTGTGTGAGAGTGTGTGTGAGAGGTGTGAGAGTGTGTGTG